AGGATTCTACGAGCAAATTCTTATGACTGAACCAGAAGAGGAGATTCGTGAAAAATCTCAAAAACTTTAGTCTTTGCTTCTGTGTTTTTATACAATTAATGTGACATGTATCCGTTCCCTTTGCAGACAAGAAGGACGTGGCTAGTGGTAATAACAGGGTCCAGCTGGGCAGAGGCCATGGGTCAGGAGTAGAGCACCTGATGGAAAGTTACACATTCGGTCCTTGGCATCCCCTGTTAAAACAAAGATCTCAGGCAGCAGGACTTGGAAAGAGAACAGTTTCTAGACAGAGTAGACAACTCTGGCCTAGATGGATCAGTCGTCTGATACTACAGATCCACATGGGCAGAACCACCTAGAATGTAGACACTGAACGTACATATTAGTATACAGCTCATTCCCAGAAATACACATCAGGTACAGAGCTCTGTTTTCCTACATGTTCCAGCGTTTCAATCTCCTACCAGCAGAAGGAGCTTTTTGACAGGTTATTGAACCTGTATAGGAGTGCACTTGTCCAGTGTGCTTGTTTGGTGCCTCTATTCACCCAGCCTCTCTGTTTGTGAATACATCTAGGCCTTGGTGTGAGGAACAGAGGAAGAAGAGGGAATTGAAATCCAGGTGGAAATAGAAGGAAATGGCTCTGGCCAGTCACAGAGGCACGTTTGGGAGTGAAGCTTCGATACGGCAGGAATAGAGAAGTATCACCCTGACCTGGTCTCATCAGATCTTGGAAGTGATGCAGGGTCATCCCCAGTTAGTCCTTGGATGGGAGACCACCAAGGAAGTCCAGGGTCACGATGCAAAGTCAGGCAATGGCAAACCACCTCTGTTCATCTTTTGCCTTGAATACCCTACACTGGCCCCGGTCACACGGAGCATTAGGCGCGCTAGAGAGACGGAAGATAGGCGGATTTTCCAGGTGCGATCTCGCCGCCACATCTGGGAAGCGTAGAGCTCCCGTGGCGCACCCGAGGCTTCCCGCCGAAGATGCGGGGTAAAAACCGCGGGGCAAGGGCGGTCATCTGATCGCGTTTCCGGTGGTAGTTCCGGCGCCCGCCCATGTCCCCTCGCAAAAAGGTGGGGGTTTTTTTCCAAGTCTCCACAGATGCACACAAGCACCCAACGGAGCATGTGCACATTTCAGTTTAAAAAGCTGTGTGACTTTCCAGAACTTTCCACCACCTCCAGAGAAGGGCAGTGCTAACAGCAAGAATGTAAAGAGATGAACTTTTGTTGCATGAAACATTTGAATGTCTCTCTGTTTCAGGCCAAAGAAACAGAGTCCATCAAAATCTTAACAAGAACATGCCAGCTAAGAGGAACATGACATAAATTTATCCAGGGGTCTTTTTGTGGAAAAAGAGCTGCAGGAGCTCATTAGCATATGATATGCTAATTAGCTACTAGGCTATTAGCATATGCCACGCCTCCTGCCATCACCGGAAGTGATGTCAGAAGGGGAAGCAAAAGGGGGGGCATCTTCAAAAGCCTCCCCTTTCCTTCCCCAACTGGCCTGGAAGGTGGAGTTGGGCCACAGAAGGAAGAAAGAGGGAAGGAAAGAGAGAGAGTAGAGAGAAGGAAGGAGAGAGGGAAAGAAAGAGAAGGAAAGAAGGAAGAAGAGAAGGAAGGAAAGAGGGGATAAAAAGAGAGAAGGAAAGAGGGAAAGAAAGAGAAGGAAAGAAGGAGGGAAAGAAAGAGAGGGAAGGGAAGAAGGAGGGAAAGAAGGAAAGGAGGAAAAAAGAGAAGAGAAGAAGGCGGAAAAGAAAGGAAGAGAGAAG